TCTATATATGTTTGGATACATACCCACTTGCCTTTTATTTATGATTTGTTGACTAAGTTCACGTGAAGACTTCTGCCAATATTTATATAATAGATTCTGTAGAATCCTTCATACCATATATGCCTGGATACCAGAGTACAAACTATCAGCTGCCACTCGTAATAGGGTAGGCAAGTGCCCTCATGAAGTAAGAAGATTCCATACTTACCTACTCTCGAACCATACCTGGTTTATACTAGTGATAGGGTGGGTAAGTGCTAATATTTTTATAACAGGTTTCACACTTATCTACTCTAAGTATCTAATATATATTGTGTATATTTATTTACCTTTCATTTATATTTTGCTGACTAAGTTTGTGTGAAGGCTTCTCCTAATATTTTATATAATAATTCTGGAGAAGCCTTTACTATATATGTCTGGATATATACCCAGATATATATCATCACCTGCTATATCTAGATATATACCCACAATAGGGTAGTCTTCTTCCATTATTTTATATAATATTTTTGAAGAAGACTACTCTAAGTATCACCTATTAAGAATACGCTTATTCCTTGTTTTAGAAGATATTCAGGGTGAAAGCTTCTGCTAATATTTTTATAATAGATTACGCAGTTATCTTCACTTTTAGTTGTATATCTAGATAGTCTTCTTTTACGATTTGTTAGCTATGTTTGCCATTGCTTTTTTTTTGCATCTACCAAAAAAATAATTAAACATTTCTAATTTTTATAGAGCTATTATAACTTTTTGAACTAACAACATGCATACCTCAACTATTTCTAACCAAACTGATCATACTAGAACTGGCCCCCTTGCCTGCTACAATAGCGCCAAGACGATGAATATTTAAGTGACTCAAGCAGTTGTATTAATAATGGATCTAACTTAGAGTCAGATAATTATAATAACTATGAGTCTAATTATGAGTCAGATAATGAAAAAGCTCCTTGTATCTCAACTAGCATTACCGGGTCTCCATCAGTTCAGCTACTAAATGTAGAAGAGCAAAAGGCTAATATGATATACACTTTAAGGCAAGAAAAGTTTAATAATAATCTTTCTTCCAAGGACTTGCTAAATGCTATTCGGTACCTTCTTTCATCACCGCCTAGAGATATATCAAATGATAAAGGTTCATTAGATTGTTTTCCAATCTTTTCATTTCTCTTTCCGAATGAAAAAGGGTTTAGTTTATATAATGCTTATGACCAAAATAAAGTGGAAGATAAATTGGTTATCAAAATCAACCAAGATAGTGATCGGGCCCCGAAGTTTTCTGTTGCATATGATGTGTCAGAAGTATATGGTTTACCTGGGATTCATGAATGCATTAATGGTCAAAAACTTTTAAGAGCTGTAATTGATATCGATGCTTCGCAAGAAGACATGGAAACAGCCGGTGTTGAATAGCAAGAAGTATTCTTTTGAATCTGTTTTTCTTTTATAAGAGCTTTGTATCGAACTCTTGACTGTAGTTGGGAAGATATTCTTAAAGTGTTAGTACTTGCTACATCTTCGGATCCTAGCAAGTGTAGCATTTCTTTCTTCAGATCCAAGCTCATTAAAACTAAGATCCAAAGAAGTCAACGTGGAGTTCCTTTGAAGAATATTTGCTACCGCTTTTCTACTCTCAGAACCAAGTTTACAACGACTAAGATTTAAAGAAATCAAAGTGGTGTTTTTGTAAAGTGAATCTGCTAATACTCTTCCTCTTTCTGGTCCAATATTGTTATTTCTAAGATTTAAAGAAGTCAAAATATAGTTCTTATCAAGAATTTTTGCAAGTATTGTGTAAGAATCAGGATAATTGCAGCATAAAAGCAATAAATGTAAAGATGTAACCGTAGTGTTCTTATAAAGAGTTTCAAATATTATTTGATTACAAATAATTTGATCAAGAAATAAGTAGTCAAGATTCTTGTTAATTCAAAGTAACATTGCAACTAAAGAAGTTTTAACAGCATCTTCACATTCTTCTGATAATTCTAATTTGATAAAATTACGAATGCTATCATAAAAAGCATCATAGTCAATAGATTTAATATAACTTGAATATTCAAATAGCAGCTTTGGGTGATTTGGAAGGTTAATTTTAAACGGAATTAAGAGAGCCTGCTCTTTTGCATTTAACATTAGAAGTAATGTCGTTATTAGTTTTTTATTTTTAAAATCTGGTTCAGTCCACAATATTGGTATAATAACTCTGCACCAATGATGGTTTACTAGAGCACATGAAAATAAGCTTTTGTGATTATTTTTTAGGTATTTAAATACTTCATCGCAGATGTTTTGAAGTTTAAATAATTTATTAAAGATTTTTTCATTGAGGATTTCGTCGTTTGATTGAATGTCAAAATGATTCGTGGTTGTTCATATAAAAAAAAAGAAAAGAAATTAAAGTATAGAGAAAATGTCGTATAACAAAAAGAGAAAGAAATAAAAGAAACATATAGAAAAGAAAATAAGGACCTGTTGAAAAGGAAAATAAGGAATACATCGAAATAGTATTAATTTGGTTTATTCAACTTTGAGTAAAATAAAAATTTTATTTCTGGTGATAAAAAAATATAGGTCAATATTTATATTTGCAGATTGTTTATCTGTAAAATTGGTACGTACTGTATACTTACATATGTATTTACATACAGTACGTATATCAAATAAATATTTAGTCAAGAGTTAATTCCGTATAAATTTAAGGTATGTACGTGCAAGAAAAGCTTTGTGCCCTGTTTAAACTTGTTAATGATAAAGAAAATGGTTTAACAAGTTTATAATAAACCGGATACATTAATAATTATGCTGTTATAAATCATATATAAAAGTAGGATTTCTTATCTTACAATATAAAGCCTGAATAGAAAATTTGAACTTTTTTAACACTCACAAAACCAAATACAACAATTTTTAAAGTCTGGTCAAAGACTGGCAGTAAAATAGCCAAATAGCAATGAAGTAACTTATCATATGTATTAATTTGAATTTATTTTAATTTTAATTTTAACATTTTTAATTAAAGGAAAGAATGAAAATGAGATTCACGTGTTTTCTTATATTTATAACCATTTTAATCATTTGGTAAATTATACAAATTCTTGTAATTCGGGTGGACAATTTCTGAGCCAATTTTAATTGACAGGATTTCTAGAAAATTATTCCTTCCTGAGTTTTATGAGCCAGTTGTACATGGAACCTTTGGAGTCAACAAATCAGTGCCATGTCACATATTTTGTTTAGTATATGAATTTATTGCTGAAATTATGATTGGAAGGCATAGATTCGGGAGTCATTCTTATAAAGGGACAGTGCCAATATAAATGTAAAATTATATACTTGTTTTTATACAGCACACATTATATATTTGTGATAGTAATTAATTAATAAAAGAGATGCATGATAAATGGTATTATCAATACATAGTCTATTTAATTGTTTATACAACATATATATGTAATATCAAATAACAGAAGACCTGACCAAGATTTAAATTCAATTGATTTATAATAGTCCCTTATATCAAATTTGATCTATTTTTAAAAGATAAATAAGCGAACATCTATTTGTTAGGTAAAGTAAAAAAAGTAAAAAAAGTAAAAAGGAAATAAATAATGTACAACTTCGTATACAGTACTATATATATAGAATATTATAACTAATAACTAGAAATTTAATATTCACTGTGTATATATGCTATGCTATTAATAATATATTTATTAATAATATATCTATTTAATATTAATACATCTATACAACATATATATATACTGTATGGGTGAACTAGTTTAGAATATGCAATATATTTAATTCAGAAATTTTTCCGTTTTTATTATTAACTTGTTAAAACAAGTTTCTTATCACTATAATGATAGTAAGAACAGGAGATCTGCAATATGTTACATATCAGTTTAAAGTATATACATTTGGACAACTTTAAAAGTATAATTCTGTATCAGCACATTTGCAATGCATATAATTCATTTTCATCACGTCATACCTCTTTTTCTCATTTTAGTGATTATCCTTATCTTTGCCTATACGTACGTGGGTATTAATTGATTTGACCCCAAAGTGGGTTTTATAATCCGGATTTTAAGATATCAATATACCTGTGTATACTGGTATCATATAGTGCAAAATAGAAATTCTCTCCCTATATATAAATATTTATAATTTTCTGTTGTTATTTTGAAAATTTATATTTTTTTTATAACATGGGTATCTCGAGAAATGCGTCTAAAGACAATTGCTCTTTTAACGTTGAGAAATTTATCGCTAAATCTGGTCAAATTAACTACAAATATAATAATATCTCGCATTAGAAAAAATGAAATTCCAAATGTTACTTTATCTAGAACTGATTATGACAATTATAGACAAAAATTTCCAAGTTCTTTACAACAAGGTGTCTCCTTTTCTAATCAATTGAATCTTCATGAACAATTAAGGATCATTAAAGATGAAAATCATTTTACAAACAAATTTTTTACAGCTGTGAAAATTTATACTAAAAGTATAAAATTAATTGCTTTTTGTCATTTCTAGTAAATTTTTTATATTGTGTAATAAGTATATATCTTTATTAACATTAACAATCCAAAAAGATAATAAACCCCGACCATAGTGCTTGTCAAATTACTATCAAAGTTGATAGTAATTCTTCATTGTCAGATTCTGACTCAGAACCCTACACAACTGACGAACATATTTTACAACAATCCAGTTCATTAAATGATGATGAACAGTTAATTAATAGCAATAATGATGAACAGTTAATTAATAACAAAGTTCTTAAAGTTCAAACACAAGATGTCTAAAACCTGCGGCTACCAATTTTTTCAATCAAAAATATGTTCTAATGATCAATCGCAAATTGTTTACATCTGTCTACGTAATAATAGCCAAAAATATAAGAAATTAAAAAAAATTTTAACTGCAATCATCGCATTTTCAATTTTAGCTCTTTTTTGGTATCATCAAAAGGTATTTGTCACACATAATACATATTTATATTTGATGCTAATAACAAATATTTATTTTAGACAAATAATGCTACTATTAGCAATCTAATTGAAGTAACTAACAACTTGATTTTCGAAAAAGTAAGCATCAAATTTTTCACTCACAAAGAAAACAATACTTTCCTAATAAAAATCTAATTTTATAGTACAATCTTTGGAAAAATGCGAAACTTTTTGAAACAGAAAATAATGCGTTGAAAATAGAAAACTACACGGTAAAATCTGAATTAAGCAATCAATTTAAAAGCAAAATACACAGTCTTGGAAAAGGAAAATACTAATTTAAAAGAACATATCACTAGAGACAGGATTCAAAAAAACAATCAAAGACCTCGAAAATACAATCAAAGACCTTGAAGCAGAACTCAGAAATAGAAATAAAATTTAAAGCAGAATGTAAAGAACTTGTAATGGAATTAAATTTGTTAAAAAACAAAAATGAGGAAGCTGAAAATAGAAAAAAACAATTGGAGAATAAGATCAACAAGATAATTGAAGATTATGACAGTTAATAGATACAATAAATAATTTATGAAAAAAGGAAAAAGAACTAAGAAAAAGGTTTGAAAAGAAATTCAAAATAAATTAGATGATCTAGAAGCAGAAAAAATAAACAAAATAGTCAACAAATCAAAAGGAGAATGCAGTTAATTCATGATTATAGTAGATATGTAATATTAGTCAGTGTTGGCTGATGACCTTGAATGACCTATATGACCTTTATGACCTGTCATAGGTCATTTGGTCATAACGAAGA